ATCATACCTGCTATGAATGCAGTAGCAAAAAAACTTCGAGGGGGGGTGGGGAAAGACGGCGACAGAGCAGAATAGAACAAATCCACAGCCATGTAAATCTTTGGCTAATTATCTATAACTATGTCATGAAAAATGCCCACAATGCCCTGCATTCTCTCTCTATGGTTACTGCAGGATGTAAAAGCTTTTAAACCACTTCACATATGGTTGGAGCAATGGTCTGGAAAAGATAGATTCTCTCTACCAGCTCCCCTTTCTCTATATCCCAAAGTGAAAAAAGAACAAAATAATCTGAGGTAAATAGGAATTTGGACATTTACTTTGCTGAAAAAAGTATTAATCTAATTTCCTAAACAAACCAGACAACCTGGCACTCAAATCAGCTTACCACTTTGCACCTCTCTACAAGGATTAGCAGAGTGCCATAATTATAATGCCCAATTTGATTTATTAAAGGAGGCTTCACAGAAAGGATGACAATTCAATAGCTTAGTAGAGAGAAGGGATGAGAGAGAGTGTGAAGCTTCAAGTAGAGCAGCAGTGTCTTAAATAAAAACATTCGTCAATACAATTAGTGTTAGTTAGAGTAAATTTACCAAATTAGGGGCGAGCACAGACTGGAACCTCAGATGCTAACCATCCCAAAAACCTGGGAAAATTTAGATCAACCCCATTATTTCTAGAGTGGACTTGAAACATAACAGCCCTGAACTTGGAGGATATTAGACCAGGGCATGAATTTCATGGCTATAAAAAACATGCAAAAAAGAAAGCAGGGTTATAAAAAAAAGCATAATTGAATATAAATTTCAAAAAGCTTGTGCTAAGAGAGAAATGGTTTTACCTGTTACACCTGAGTACAGCACAGTTCATCTAATTGAGTCATTAACAACCAGGAAGACTACAGATGATATCTGCAATAAGCACTTATCTCTATAGCCTTAAATATTGGTGTGCACCATATTGAGAATACACTGAACTCTGAACATGACTTGCTCCAACAGGCTAATTGTGCTTTAATGGGTCACTCATCACAGGTTTTGTTTTACTCTCTCCATGTAACTTCCCTGCCCTCTACAGAAGCTTGTTACTTCTACCTGCAGAGAAGCAGGAGAGACTATGCAGACAATAAGAACAGGAGTACTTGTGGCACCTTAGAGACTAACAAATTTATTAGAGCATAAGCTTTCGTGGGCTACAGCCCACTTCTTCGGATGTATATAGAATGGAACATATATTGAGGAGATATATATACACACATACAAAGAGCATGAACAGGTGGGAGTTGTCTTACCAACTCTGAGAGGCCAATTAAGTAAGAGAAAAAAACTTTTGAA